GATACACTTATAGTTACTTTTGAGGATCTCCATAGAATCACTTTCTGATTTGATTTATGCATGACAGTCCGTCCTTCCCTCCGTCCGTCTGTCCATGTATTCTTGTGAACAAAATGAAGGTCGCATTTATTATCCGATTGAAGTGAAATTTTTCAAACAACATTTGTTTGGCCCAAGGACGAACCCTATTGAAATTGGAGATAATCGGTAAAAATTTAGATATAGCTCCCATATATATCTTAGTCCGATTTGCCTTTTATTGTGCATCAAACGTGTAATATCAGCCCGAATAGTATGGACTTTTGCACACACAACCAAATTGGGCCTGAAAATGTCAAATTTGATCGAAATCGGTTCAGATATAGCTATAGCTCCCATATATAACTTCATCCTATTTACCTTTTATTGTGCACCAAACGTCTAATATTTACCCAAATGGGATGGGATTTGGCACATACGACCGAATTGAGCCTAGAAGGTGGTGTGCCAAATTTGGCGAAGATCGTTATATTTGTTACCCACGGCCGTAATATGCAGTCCGTAACAACGATATTCAGGGAAATATATCAAATACAACTCAGAAATATCTATGTCAAATTTTATCGAGATCGGTTCGGATTTGGATATATACTATACAAGTCCGAATTTAAAAGATACAAATGCTTCGGCATATTTAGTCCTTTTAACTTTAAATAATAATTGTAATCATAGCGTATATGATTGAATTCTCCTATAAAAAACTTTTAATTGTTATATAAAGCTCTACTAAATTAGCAAAGTGGTGTAGGATATCATAAAGTTGGTCCCGCCCGACTTTAGGACTTTCTTTACTGGCTTTTTTAAATTCTCGTATTTCTAGAGGATCTTCTAAAACATTTTATTTTTTTAGCAAGCTCAAAATATATTTTTCTTGAAATTATTTTTAAACTTAAGATTAAAATATCTTAAATAAGATAAGAGTTTAATGTCATTGACACGTTCACTTTGTTGCTGCTGCAATTATCCATTTCAACCACATTTTTATCGCTCATTTTAACATGATATGAATATAAATTAATCAGATAAAATAAAAATACACATGCGATAGACTCCATCAACTCATACAATTCTTAATGGACAAAATTAATTTGTAGACCACCCGGCGCTATATCTCATCACCATCACGCATAATGTCATAAAAAAGCAACCACAAACAAAACGGGGAAATAAACCAAATACAATTTTATAATACACAATTTAAATTTCATTCAACAATTATTTCAATATTAAATTTTGGAAAACAACAACAATTAATCCGCATACATTTCCCTATCAGTTATAATAATAATATTCTTATTTTAATTGATTTTGAATTCTGGTGTAGCAATTCTCACTCCCACCAATCAGTTTATGTTTGCGTTCTGATACGAGTTATATTCCGTTGTTGTTCATTTGATCATTTCAATATTTTGTTTTGTTTTTATTTTTTCTCTGTGTATTTGGTAAAAGTGTGGGCCACAATCAATGCCGCTGCCGGCTCTGCTGCTGGCTGACTGGCTAGCTGGCTGACTCTTGTTGTTCATCGCTTGTTTGTGGCCCATGACCACACTTTGTTTATGCGATAGCTCGAAGAATTCAATGTTTATTTCATTTAGCACATTTCTCTCGGGCACCTCGTGCAATTTTTATCTCGTCTCAAATTGGGGAACATACGAAACATACAATACTCGGAAGAGATTTCGATAGTGTTGAATCGAAACGTCTAAATTGTGTACAACCTGCATTATGGCAAAATATTCTATACGGGTATGAATCAGAGCAATGGGTATTTTTTTTTTTTGCGGAACAGTGGCACGAGATGATAATATGTAAGATTGTGTTTTTATTAACATTATAAGAAATTTGTTATAAATCAGAATTATTGAAAGAGTTATTTCTTTAACCACAAAAGAGGATAGGATGAAATGGACTATATTACAGAAATGAAAAAATCTAGGGCTTTACAAAAAATATTATTAACCCAATGTTGCAAATTTCACGAAACATATATAAATGGGAGCTGTACCTGTCTATGAATCGACCTGGCAAAACTTATTTCTAGTTGGAACTTTACAGTATAATCAATTATAAAAATGGATGCACTTAACAAGGTTGGTGGACTATTTACATTAAAATCGGAGGAAATATATACGGGGCCATACCAAACACAAACTGATTTTGATAAAATTCGGCAATTTAAAAAGAATCTGATGCCTATTTCACATTTTGTGAGCGTTTTGTTTATTCAAAAATTTAACTCTTCGCTGGTAGATACTAGAGGTAGTGTCCACCAATTTCCCAATTTGCAATTTCTCACCCAAACCTTTGTTGGTAGAAATATTGGCATGTATGAAATATGAAAACAAACAGACTACCATATCATAATCTGCAAGAGTTTTAATTTTCAAAATGGTAAAAAATGTTCTGTGGGGGAGATACAGGAAGGAAGGGGTCGATATTGTGTGTATTTTAACCTGACCTTGTATTTTTTTGTGTCCAATATTTGTAATATTCCTCCAAATTGGGTGTAATTCGGCACATCTGACAAAATTCAGCCCAGAAGCAACTACCTCAAATTTGATGAAATTCGGGACAGATATAGCTATATCGACCATATATATATACAGGGTGAAATAAAATAACCGCAACCATCTTCAGACTTCTGGAATTTGTTAAAATTATTCCAAAAGCATTTTGGTGAGAATTTTCCAAAAAAAAAGTTATTCGTGATTGAATTCAAGCGTGTTATTTCGATTTCTTTATATTTGGCTGGAAAACCACAAGTGGCTATCCTTAGAGCATTCCAGCATTTAAATGTGAATACATATTTTGTGTCTCGTAACATCGCTCGTTTCCGTGATACTGGTAGCGTAATCCGACGTCAAGGAAGTGGACGGAAGAAAACAGCAACATCAGCAGAAATGGTGGAAAAAGTAAAGAAGCGACAAAGAGGACAGCTAAAAATGTGCACCTTCGGTGGGCCACCAGAACTCAAGCGTCGGCCATGGTGATGGTGTGGGCCGCCATAACAGCCGATGGTCGCTCTCCGCTCGTTTTAATCGACATCAGAATAAATGCCGTGGCATCTGAATAAATGCCGCGAAAATATTTTGGAGGGTGTATTCAAACCTTGGACACGCAAACATTTTGGCCACAGACCTTGGACATACCAACAGGACTCAGCACCATCGCACTCAGCACGTGCCACTCAAGAATGCTTACAAAATGAGGTTCCTCGCTTCATTTCCAGCGCACAATGGCCACAAAAATCTCCGGATATCAAGCCGTTGTACCATTGTGTCTGGAGTATTTTGGAAAGCAGTGTTGGCACAAAAAATACCAAAGTTTCGATCACCTCAAGCAAGCGCTTCGGCGGGAATGGGCCAAAATACCAAGCAGCAACATTCGGGCAGCGTGTGACGGTTTCATTGGTCGTTTGAAGACCATAATTCGTACCAAAGGCGACCAATTCGAACAAATCTAAATTTATTCTAAAATTTGATGCTATTTCCGACATTTTTTGCTTTCATTGAATAAATTTAAAAATTAAATGTAAAAATTATGGCATTTTACTTTTTTGCATAGATTTTTTATATTCAACTGAATTTTACTATTTGGTGAAATTGGGTCCGGTAGATCTATTACTCCAATAAATATTTTTATACCCTACAACACTATGTGTTGGAGGTATTATAAGTTTGATTGGGCCCAATATTATGTAATACCTCGAAATATTGGTTTCCCACATGGGAAAGCATATCTGGATCTTCCTGTTTCAGTCGATCTAGCCATGTATGTCCGTCCGTCTGTCCATGTTAATTTGTAATCACTCTACAGGTCGCAATTATTGCCCGATCTTCACGAAATTTAGAATGGAGGTGGGATTGTGGTCAGAATAGAAGCCTATTGCTTTTGATCGCAAAATATTTAGGGGTTCAAATGAACCAGAAATAGAGAAAATTTCCTGATCAAACAATTCAAGCCAATCGGCGCGCCTGAGAAGAGAGTTAAGGACAGGGAAGAATTCTAGAATTTTGGATGACCATTGGATTATATTTAGCTGTAAGATGGACTACAACTACTAACAACACGACGGAGTGCGTTAATATTGGGCAAATGTCCCTGGTCACAATACTAAGGGCAACGGCCCCGCACGGCTATAGGCTTTGCTTGTTTAATTATACAGTTATCGCAGCAATTTTATTTGATTCATAGTTGGGATGATCTACTTCACTTCAGTTCCCAATATACATTTTTTAGTTACGGGAGCTATACCAAAATACGCATGGTGGTATCATATAGTCGGCCCCGCCCGATTTTTGATCTTTCCTTATTTAATTTTTTAAATTGTGAAGATATTCATATAAAGGCTTCTCCAAATCTGCTGACAATACTCCTCATTATGTCAAGCTCGATTTTTTTTCTTAAACTAAGAACTATTGCTCAAAAATATATTAGAAATAAAAATTGTGCTTTAATCTGGGTGAAAAAATCATTGATGTTGATGAGCAAAACCTTGTCCTATATTGTCACTAAAATCATATATTTTTTTTTTATTTTTAATAATAAATTTTTTGCCTTCATCTCACTGTGTGCAAATTCCTTTTAGTTCAAATTGTTCTTTGATTTTTATATCTTTTGTTTAAACAATTTGATTTGAGTTTGTTTTGTTTTTATTCTGGCTAAAAAGCATATGCATGCGTGTGTGTGTGGATGTTTGTACTTTTGTTTATATGATGCCGTCTGATATTTTTCAAAGTAACACATAGTTTGCTTTTCGGGAAATGGCCCGGCACGATTTTTGTCGATATTTGTTGGCCTGTTGCCGTTTGCTCATTCTCTTTCTGGTATCGTTCTTTGCTTTGGCTGTGTTTTTTTTTTTCATTTTTTTTTGCTTTTTTTGTTCTACAGGTCTTGGCAGAACATTTGCTATTTACAGTGCGCTCAGTAAACCAGCAGATGTTCATATCCGCGTTGACTTGCGCCACAATGTGTCGTATTTAGTTTAGCTCATTGTGTTTGAACGAGCGAACGAACAAACAAGTAAAGAGTGCCTGCGAAGACAACAACAGGGGCGCTAGTGTGAACGGGTGTGGTGTCTTCAAAACAATGCTGGCCATAAAACAACATAATTATAATATTAATATGTTTTATTTGCTATGTTAAAACCCAAAATGATGTGGTGTAAATTTTGAATCATAAAAAAATATGAAAATATAACTAGAAAAGAGGCCGCCTATCGATAAAGTGAAGTTAATCGGTGTTTATCGTCACCACCATAGGAAGTAAAATCTGTGGGAGATTTTCCAATATTTTCAATTTTTTCGCCGTTTATGTGTGAAACACGAAAAAACGAAATATAATCGAATTGAAGTGCATGAATTATTACATTTCTAATTGTGGTAAACCTCAAATGAAAATTATCCAATTTGAATAGCATTTTGGTTGTTATTGAAACGTTCGAGAATTAATTAATTATTCGAGACAGTGCGAAAACACGCAGTGCTGGCGATCGAGCGAGGAGAGCCAGGGGCAAACATTTTGAGAGTGGTTTTGCTTCTGGTGAAATAAAATATTTTCGCCAATTTATTGAGGTAATTTTGATTTTGAATAAACTGTTGATATTGTGTGGTATATGCATGCGTGCGTGTGTGTGAATATGAACACTTTGACATTTATACATTCTAATATTCTCTCATACCATGGTTTCACGCAAAAATTAATATCTGCTGTCGGATGAGTATTGGCAAACAGGTTGCTAATAATTCTCACCAACGAAATTTGCCAATTTGTGACACATGCTTGACTGGCTGCTGAACGCGATGAGAAGAGAAGAATGAGTGGCAAAAAATATTATTAAAACACGATGTTCTGTTTGGCATTTTTGATGAAATTATGACCATTTTGACAGGCAATGAAGTGCTTATAGGGAAAGATAAATACATTGAATTAATACATGCAAATAACTGGGGTGATATCAATTTCTATACATTCGCATTTGAAGATTAGGGAAATATTTATATTAATACACTTTACAATAAGCAATAAGTTTCAAAATTTATAGAAAAAATGTAAATTAAAAGTGGCTGCAAATCAAAATAATAAAAATAAAATAACAAAAATAATAAAGGAAAGGTCAAAAGTGGGACAGGACCGACTATACAATACCCCACACCACTATGCGTATTTACTAGAGCTCCCGTAACAAAATAAGTTTATATTGGGAATTTATGTGAAGTAGATCATACCAACCATGATCCATATAATATTGCTGTATAGTGAATGATATGACTTCGACAAGGATAATATAAAAAAAATATTTATTGGAGCAATAGAATACCGGACCTACTTTCACAGAATGGTTAAATTCGGTTGAATATGAATAAAAACTATTCAACATGGTCGGATAATACATATATGGTAAGCAATAACCGTAAAATCGGATGAAGATGTAAATCGAAGCTACATAACAACGGAACCGACTTCGATAAAATTAAGCTGAGGTATTTTCGAGCAGTAGCTGATGCCCGGTATCAAATATCATTGTTGAGGAGTGCATATTATGTATGTGAGAGACTTTAACGGCAAATCGGACGAAAATTATATCTGATGCCCGGTACCATTCTTGTGGAGTGCATATAACGCATGTGAGCATGACTGACATGCATAAATATACTCTTTGAAGGCCCTCAAAAGTAACTATGAATATATCTCGCTGCTTTCTCCATGTTACAAACAAATAGCCAAAGACATAAAACCCTTACCACTATGTGGTGTAGGATATAATAAAATATTTTATTTGTCCTTAATGTGGCATTCCCGCAGAAGAGCTATAGGTTTTCGCATAGAAGAGCTATAGGTCTTCGCATTGAAGAGCTATAGGTCTTCTCATAGAAGAGCTATAGGTCTTCTCATAGAAGAGCTATAGGTCTTCTCATAGAAGAGCCATAGGTCTTCTCATAGAAGAGCTATAGGTCTTCTCATAGAAGAGCCATAGGTATTCTCATAGAAGAGCTATAGGTTTTCTCATAGAAGAGCTATAGGTATTCTCATAGAAGAGCTATAGGTCTTCTCATAGAAGAGCTATAGGTCTTCTCATAGAAGAGCTATAGGTCTTCTCATAGAAGAGCTATAGGTCTTCTCATAGAAGAGCTATAGGTCTTCTCATAGAAGAGCTATAGGTCTTCTCATAGAAGAGCTATAGGTCTTCTCATAGAAGAGCTATAGGTCTTCTCATAGAAGAGCTATAGGTCTTCTCATAGAAGAGCTATAGGTCTTCTCATAGAAGAGCTATAGGTCTTCTCATAGAAGAGCTATAGGTCTTCTCATAGAAGAGCTATAGGTCTTCTCATAGAAGAGCTATAGGTCTTCTCATAGAAGAGCTATAGGTCTTCTCATAGAAGAGCTATAGGTCTTCTCATAGAAGAGCTATAGGTCTTCTCATAGAAGAGCTATAGGTCTTCTCATAGAAGAGCTATAGGTCTTCTCATAGAAGAGCTATAGGTCTTCTCATAGAAGAGCTATAGGTCTTCTCATAGAAGAGCTATAGGTCTTCTCATAGAAGAGCTATAGGTCTTCTCATAGAAGAGCTATAGGTCTTCTCATAGAAGAGCTATAGGTCTTCTCATAGAAGAGCTATAGGTCTTCTCATAGAAGAGCTATAGGTCTTCTCATAGAAGAGCTATAGGTCTTCTCATAGAAGAGCTATAGGTCTTCTCATAGAAGAGCTATAGGTCTTCTCATAGAAGAGCTATAGGTCTTCTCATAGAAGAGCTATAGGTCTTCTCATAGAAGAGCTATAGGTCTTCTCATAGAAGAGCTATAGGTCTTCTCATAGAAGAGCTATAGGTCTTCTCATAGAAGAGCTATAGGTCTTCTCATAGAAGAGCTATAGGTCTTCTCATAGAAGAGCTATAGGTCTTCTCATAGAATAGCTATGCGAATACCGCTAGATAGACTTCAAATCGTTTCGTCTCCTATTTATACCCTACACCACATAGTTATAAGGGTATTATGTCTTTGTGCATTTGCTTGTAACATGGAGAAGGAAGCGAGATAGACCCATAGTTACTTTTGAGGTATATTTATAGAACCACTTCGATTTATGCATGCCAGTCCATCAGTCCGTTCGTCCGCCAATGTATTCAAGTGAACAAAGTACAGGTGCAAAGTGCATTTATTACCCGATTAAAATGAAATTTTGCAAACAATATTTGTTTGGCCCATGGACGAACCGTGTTGAATTTGGTGATAATCGGATCAGATTTAGATATAGCTCCCATATATATCTTCAACCAATATCGGTTTAATTGTGCACCAAATAGCTAATTTTAGTCCAAATGACTTGAATTTTGCCACGCCCTGCTGAATTCAGTTTTGAAGTAAGTACTATAAATTTGGTGAAAATCGGTTCATATATACCCACACAGGGTGAGAAAAAAAAAACTACAACAAAGTAAAATGCCATAATTTTTACGCTTTTAAAAAAATTATTGAATGAAAGTAAGAAATGTCGGAAATAACATCAAATTTTATTATAAGTTTAGATTTGTTCGAATTGATCACCTTTGACACGAATTATGGTCTTCAAACGGCCAATAAAACCGTCACACCCTGTCCGAAGGTTGCTCTGCGGTATTTTGTCCCATTCACGGTGAAACACTTGCTTGAGGTGATCGTCACGTTGGTATTTTTTAGTGCCAACCTTGCTTTCCAAAATACTCCAGACATAATAGTCCAACGGGTTAGTATCCGGAAATTTTAGTGGCTATTGTGCGCAGGAAATGAAGCGAGGAACCTCATTTTTTAACCATTCTTGGGTGGCGCGTGCTGAGTGCGATGGTGCTGAGTCCTGTTGGTATGTCCAAGGTCTGTGGCCAAAATGCTTGCGTGCCCAAGGCTTTAATACACCCTGCCGAATATTTTCGCTACAATATTCGGTGCCACGATGCCATATTCTGATGCCACGGTCGATTAATACGAGCGGAGAGCGACCATAGGCTGTTAGGGCGTCCCACACCATCACCATGGCCGGCACTTGAGTTCTGGTGGCCAACCGAAGATGCACATTTTCAGCTGACCTCTTTGGCAAGTAAACACGATCATTTTGTTTGTTTTCAAACAGCTGGACAACGAATTTTTTATCATCGGAGAAAACCAAATTCGGCAGTTCACCACTTTCGGCCAAGCGAAACAACTCTTTAGCTCTTTTGAGTCTATTTTCTTTCTGTCGCGGTGTAAGTTCTTGCACTTTTTGGAATTTCAATGGCTTTACCCCGAGCTCATATTTCAATATTTGCCGAATGGATCATTGCGATATGTTCAGCTCACGAGCCATTTTTCGGCCACTGTTACGCGGGTTTCGATGAAGCCGCTTCTTTACTTTTCGAACAATTTCTACTGATGTTGCTGTTTTTTTCCGTCCACTTCCTTGACGTAGGGCTACGCTACCAGTATCACAGTAACGAGCGATGGTACGAAACACAAAAAAATTATTCACATCTAAATGCTGGAGTGCTCTAACGATAGCCACTTGTGGTTTTCCAGCCAAATAATAAATTCTATCACTAATAATGTTTTTCCTGGAAAATTCTCACCAAAATGCTTTGGTACGCATGTAAACAATATAAATAGCTGTCACTGGAATAATTTTAACAGCTGTCGGACGAGTGGCTTAGAAATGACAGCAGTCTGCGTTCGGTTGCAGTTTTTTCATCTCATCCTGTAGATCCCATACATATGTTTCATTTGGTGTTTAAGTCCATCATATTCGATATCCTTTATAGCTTGGAAATACCACTGCTAAATTTTATCAAGATAGGATCTGATTTGGATTTAACTCCCACATATATCCTTAATCCGATTTGATGATTTTTGTGCAAATAATAGCTCCGATACATATGTTTTAATATAATCCTTCTCGAATTTATATCCTGCACTATATAGCAATGTAATTTGGTGTAAAAGATTAAAATGTCTCAGTCAAATTTAGTGAAAATCGATTCAGAATTGGATATGCCTCCCATATAATAGTTCTCTCTGAAAGCAAATTTTAGCTACTCTAAGGCCAAATGATAATAGGAAGTAGGATCTACTTCAAATAAATTATTTTGTTATGGGAGCTCTACTAAATATGCATAGTGGTCTAAAGTATCATATAGTCGGCCCTGCCCGACTTCTGATTTTTCCTTACTGGTTTAAGAATTCTTTTTTGAAAATAAAATATTTAGTATTTCAGTTAGTTATCAGTTTCAATGTCAGATTTCTGGCTGACAATCAGAAAATGCAGTGACACATTTTCTGCTCAAATTTGACGAAATAACGGAGGTTGTACCAATTGCATGATGTCTACTGATAAGCTTTACAGGGAACATTTTAGCTGATTATAATGCTTCATATGGAAACTTAAAACATCTGTTGACGCAATTTTTCTTTACCTTGAAAAAGAAGATTTTTTCTAGACATTTTTTTCTTTTTTTTTGGATTATTACCCATTATTTACACTCAATTGTACAGCTGAATTCATACAGACATATATTCATACATACGTGTACATTCCACACCCGTTGTACCAAAAAATAAATATTTACCAATT